ATGTAATAGTGATTATAATATAATTGTGACTATATAGAGGTATTTTTAATAATAAAAAAACGAGAATTTAAAATCATGTGATTGTGTAGAGTTTGTGATTATATGGGAGGTGACTATATGGAGGGACGACTGTAGATTTATAGGATTTAAATAAGAAATTTTATCAGATTTAATTAGATAGTTGCTAAAACATTTTTGCTCAAATTTTTTAAAATATTTATTATATAAAAACTGTATTAAATTTTTTTTAAAACTTTAAGCAAAGCAAAGATATTTTAGCAATATTAGCAAAAATCTTTTTTGATTTTTAATAGCTATCTTATTTTAGAAAGTGCATTAGAAATACATCAAGGATAATCAAGATTTGTATAAAGATAATATTTTCTTGTATTTTAGATACAAAGTAAAGTTTTCAATTCTATAATACTGTATAATTAAAAATTTACTTTGTATTCAATATATAGGAAGATACTCTTTTTATACAAATCTAAGATTATACTTGATGTACTTCCAATGCACTTTTAAAAATAGAGCAGCTATTAAAAATTGAAAAAGACCTCTACTAGCAACATCTAATCAAATTTAATAAAAGCTTTTTTATTTGAATTCTATGAATTATTGAATTTAATAAAAAAAAATTTTATTAAATTAAATTAGATAATTGTTAAGATATCTTTACTTAAAGTTTTAGAAAAAATTTGTCATAGCTTCTATTTTGATATTACCGTATTGGTACATAATAATACACATGGATATTATTTTGAAACTCACATTTTTTTGAAATTTTTTTTTTGATTCAAAATAACACCCATGTGTATCCCAAAATAATACACCTTCTTAAATATACCATATTATATATATTGATCAGGTTTTCAAGCTAAGTTCATTATTAAAAGTAGGACTTCCTCTTGTAACCAAATTTGTCAAAGTGATTCGAATTATTGTGCATGGACATTCCAAAATAACACACAGGGTCTCGAAATAACATGCAGATGCACATTATTATACATCAATATAATAATGAAAATTTATAGTACCCACTTTGATTTTGAAAAGTTTAGTCTAAAATAATTACTACATGATAACACAACTTTTAGAAATTATATTAAAATTTTGCTTTATAAAATTTTAGCTCAAATAAACAAGAACTCATTGAGTCACTACATTTTTTTCATTCTTGAATTATAGGCAAATTTGTTTTTTTAGATTTTTTTAAAAAAACTTTGAGCGAAGATATCTCAACAACCACCTAATCAAATTCGGTAAATTTTTTTTATTTGAATTCTATAGATTCTTAAAATACAAATAAAAAAACTTCATAGAATTTGATTAGATGATTGTTCGCTCAAAGTTTTAGGAAAAATTTGGCGCAGCCTGGACGATATTTCTAAAAGCTTTGAGCGAAGATGCCTCAGCAGCCACTTGATCAAATTCGGTACATTTGAATTCTATGGTTCTATAGAATTCAAATAAAAAAATTTCATCGAATTTGATCAGGTGGTTGCTGAAATATCTTTGCTCAAAGTTTAAAAAAAATTTCTATTATGATAAACATTGCATTTTTTAAAAAAAAAACTTTGAGCGATGATATCTCAGCAACAACCTAATCAAATTCGATGTTTTTTTTTTATTTGAATTCTATAGATTCATAAAATTCAAGAAATCGCACACAATCACGTACAATCATGTACAATCACATACAATCGATTGCAATCATGCAGTGATCTGCAAATTTTATCAATTTGCAAACAGCGATAAATAAAAAATTTTTTACTAATTCTATTTAATAAATATGTATTTAGATTTTGCTAAGCTTCAAAATTCCAACAATTACCTAAGCATGGCTTACCATCCAATGATCCATCTGTCGATATTGGTTATTATGATATCAGCAATCGGTGTAAACTTTCGACCTAACGCTAATAAAACCTCTGGATAGCCTCATAAATACAAGAATCACTGTTGTCGTTTCGTTCTTTTTAGACAGTCCCCTATAAGTAAGCTATGAAAATACGCATGAATATATCCAGTTTTATGAATTCTTTAGAAATCTATAAAAAAAATTGCTGCCATATGCATAATAATTTATATTTTCTGTATTTTGGTTCAATTGAGTTTGTTATACATATACGTATTTCATTCTATTGTTAAACTTTTAGGTTTACAAATGATAGTTTAATGTTTAATAAATTGTATAATTAAATATCATGAGAATCTTCCTCGGAATAGAACAAGACCTTGAGTATAACAATGGTTAGAACGACTTGCATAATTATTTCTTGTTATCTCGCATGATTTGACGGATACATGGGTATCGGCCTCGTGCGTTGCAATTATACTGTCGATGTCCAAATTTATCTGGCAGGTATTATGTAAACACTTACGTACGGAAAGAATTTTATATTGCTTCCGCAGATTCTTATATAAGAATTTGTCACATGATTTTAATGAAAATTGTGTGAAATTTTTTCCGTCAGTGTTTACACATAACAGCATAATACCTGCAGGATAATCCAATTACCATCAATTTTCGCACACTATCTGATCAAGCCACAGAAAATACGGAATTTACTTTTGCCAATTTTTTTCTAAATTGGCCTTTCATATAACTATCAATGTCCTTGTCTATTTATATCTGATACCATGGTTCACTTAATTATTACAATGCGAGTATTTTCTGTATTTAAGATTCTTTCGATCAATTATATTGCTTCGCATGCAATAACAGATAACTGTAGTATTTTATGAGCGATCCTGATTGGTTGGTAAATCAAGGTTACCGAGAAAACATAAGACACTGCAGTGATTGCTTAAATAGCATTCACCAACGAATTTATCCAATATCTTATTCTGGCTACTTATAAACCGATATTATTATACGTATAGAAATACCAAATTATAAATTGATCATAGGATAAATGTCTTTTATACGCATGAACTAATTAACGCGAATTAAATAAAATTAATATTTTGGATCATATTATGCTTTTCGGGATTATTATTTTCAGAATCTTTTCATAGGAAACCCGCTGCGAAACCATTGCTTATCTGTCATCAGTTATGTGTTATATCTCTTGGAAATTTGATTGGCTAATAATGACATTGTGTCACGGGATATTTTTAAATCCCGATAGCTCCGATAACTTTTCGTGTATAAAAAATTTCTTGAAAATATAAGTTGCTGGGTCATTTGTTGAAACTTTACGTTTTTGAAAATCAAAAAATTAATTTTGTATGGCCTTAGTTTTTTAAAAAACTTAACGATATTTATTTAAAAACCTGATACTTAAAAAAAAAAAAAAAAATTAATTTTGTTTAGACAGTAAAATTTAATAAAACAAATCGTATAATTGGAATAGTTTATTTTTATGTAAGACACAAACATAAGTCTTATATATTTGTTTAAACAGTATATATACGTGTTTTTCATTTGATAAATTATATTTAGAAAAGGTTAGTGCTTGCTATATTAATAATTAATATGTATATTTATATATAATAATATGTGTATTATATAATCTTAACGTTAAACAACAAACTTGATTACAAAAGCTTTATAATTTCTTATTTAACAGTATAAACCAATTATATAGTTAAAATTTTGATTTATACATGAATAGGATAGCGGATAATACCCGACAATTTCCAACATTTATTACCATTATCATCTTTTAAAATTGCACTTAAATGTCGATCTTATATTTGTATTGGTACAACTTTTAATTAGTTTACACGATCAATTCAGTAAGGGTATGAGATGCAAAAAACTCAATAGAAACCATGGAAATCTGACTAAATTTAGCCAATGACGATGACCAATAGTAAATTTGATAATTTTACATAGAAACGGTCGATTTGTTGAATTTTCTGTGGGAACTATGAGGGAGACGTTTCTGTCCAACCAATACTCAAATAAATACCTTTAATATTTCCAAACACTTTCGTAAATTTATTTCTGCGTTAAAGAACCATGAGCAATATTTCAGGAGGCCCAGATTTTGTTAGGAAACTATTTAAGTGAGTTCTAACCCACGTATTTACTTTAAAAGATCTTCGCGAAGCGTAAGCTTTATTTGTAAATATGGAGAGTTCAATTGAAAAGAAACTTTATTCATATTTAGGATGCTGGAAGATTCTTCTTACAGCGATGTAGTTTCTTGGGGTGCCAATGGCGACAGTTTCGTTGTAAAGGTGTTTATTAAAAGATTTTTTGGTGTATAACTACTTTTAATATAACTTGCTTTGTTTAACACGAATTACACGAATTTCAAAATACAGGAAATCGATGCATTCACGAAAACGATTCTTCCTCGTCATTTTAAGCATTCAAATTTTGCTAGTTTTGTCCGACAGCTTAACAAATACGATTTTCATAAGATCAGAAGCTCCGATGATTCAGCTGGACTGTACGGCGAACAGGTAATAATAAAAAAAAACATCATCACGTGACGTGCAGTATTATAACTTTATTTTTATATATATATATTTTTTTAATAGGCGTGGGAATTTCATCACCCACAATTTCATTATAATAATAGGGATCAATTGGACAGTATCAAAGTAGGATCAATTATATTTTTCAGTTTGATCTGATCTAATCATCAAAAAAAAAATAAATAACTGAATTAATATGTTATTTAGAGGAAAACACCTGCCAATCGGAAACCTGCCACTGCCAATCCCCCTTCGGATGCTTCAAATAATTCCCAATTAAACGATCTTCAAAATCAAATTAGTAATCTGACTAAACTGCAATCTGTTATGAACGAACGTCTGCATTCTTTGAGCAAAAATTATGATACAGTTGTTCAAGATATATTGAGTTTTAAGAAAAACATGGTTGCTCAGGATCAATTGATGCAGGAGTTAATACAATATTTGATAGGTCTTGAAGCAGGTACACATACCAATTTCGATTTTATTATCAAAAATTACATACTATTTTCATTATACTTACTATTTTCTTATTATATAAAGAAAAATCTGGTTCTTCTCGTTCTTTTGGAAATGGAAACTCGTTGGATGATGGTATAAATAATCCATTCGTCCCTTCTGAACAAGCTCAGAAGTTAATTAATTCCTATACCCAAGTTTCACGAGCTTCAATTGATCAAATGAATGAGATTTCACAACGTGTACAATCTTTACATAATATCACTAGCAATACATCCAATATGAATAATCATAGTATAATATCTTCGGAACCTTTGACAATCCCTTCAACATTATCATCGCTAGGAAGCGAAAATGCGATTGGTTTAAATAATAGCATCAGAAATATCAGTAATTCTTCAGATGCTGCGATGTCAAATCTTTTCTTAACGTCTCAACGGTCATCTACCATAGAGAATTCTGAAATGCCTAAAGTGACGGAAACCTCTCAACAAAGAACTAATGATTACGTTCCTGAATTAATGTTTAATAATGTGATGTCTTCAGATAACGTTACGGTTTTCACTGTGGGTCACTTGTCACCTAAGCAATCGCATGCTTCTTCATCAAATATCATCCCTGTCTCAACCACAAGTCCTTCAAATGTCTCACATATCGACAATACTTCAACAAATACTTCTAATAGTATGCGCGTTCACCGTAGTACACTTATGCCAGTTTGGACTGTTCCTCCAAAAGTTCTTCTTGTAGATGATGATTTAGTATACCAAAAATTTGGTTCAAAATTGCTTGAAGTCTTTGGTTGTTCTTTTGATATTGCAGTAGATGGAATTGGTGCTGTTAATCAAATGAACATTAGTAAATATGATCTTGTTTTAATGGTAAGTTGCAAAGTTTCTCTCTTTATTACTGTGTTGCAAAACAATTTTTGATTACATAAAATTAACTTCCTAATATTTCCATGTGTCATCTTTATAGGATATTGTTTTGCCAAATTTGGATGGTAAGTTTTTTTTAGAACTTTCTTTTCCCGTAATAATGTTAGTCCTATAATTTACTATAAATAAATTTAGGCGTTGAGGCAACAGCTCAAATTAGACGATTCGATAATTCCACACCAATTATTAGCATGACATCCAGCACATCGCAACAAGATTGCAGTGTGTATCTTTCAAATGGAATGAATGATGTTCTTGCCAAGCCATTCAACAAAGCAACGTTTCTTAAAATGTTAGAAAATTATTGTTCACATCTTGTCATGCCGAATTTCCAGAGTATTCCAAGACCATTTAGTATTTCTGAAATATCGACACCCTCCAACAGTGACATATTTTCTAGTTCTTCAGATACATCAGTTGGAGAAAAAAACAATGATGGTTTGGCCTTGACCATGTCTAGTGGATCATATTCTTCTGGTGGGCCTATGTTTACTATAATGAGTAGTAATGACTATATGCAAGTTATGAATCAACTTGCTAATGCATCTTCGGTTAATCGAAAGAATACTCTGGATAAAGATTTCCAAGACCAACGTCCTTGTAAAAGACCTAAATTTGAAGTACTTGAATAATCAAAGATCTTGTCTCTGGATGTTAACTGTCTAGGAATAATGGCATTTAAATAATTCGAACATTACTGATTTTAATTTGTAAATATTTATTATTCATTTTTTTCATTTTTTCATTGGGTGGAATTATCGAATCGTCTAATTTGAGCTGTTGCCTCAACGCCTAAATTTATTTATAGTAAATTAT